TACACCAACCGCGTGTGTAACCGTGATGGTCTCTTTTCGGGTGAGTTCGAGAAGAGAACATGGTGGGGTTATGTTTGAACGTAAGTAGTTCAAGATCACTTATTGATCATTACTAGTTTGCGACCGTTTACGTAGCTTTTCATCTTATTCTCGTACTCGTAAGTTAGCCATCATACATTGCTTAGTCGCTTGATGCAACCTCACCACTTATACATTCCATTCCCATTAAGCTTTGCTAGTCTTGATACCCATGGTAATGGGATTGCTGAGTCCTCGTGGCTCACGGATTACTACAACAACAGTTGCAGGTACAGGTAATACGATGATCATGACGTGAGAGCGATGTTTACTTGTTTTGGAGTCCTTCTTCTGCTTCTTCTTTGTTCAGGGGATAGGTTCCTAGTAGGCAGCCTGGGCTAGCAGGGGTGGATGTTGTTTGAGTTTCTGTTTGTGTTCCATCCGTAGTCGGATGTTGCTATTATGTATGATGTTGTTGTATTCATGTGGCATTGTATGCCTTTTGTATTTATCCCAACTATTATGTAATGGTACGATCGATGTAATGATATTCACCTTGCAAAAGTATTTTCAATATGCGGCTCTATCCTTGATGGGACCTTCGAGTTCCCACCACTCATACATTGCTTAGTCGCTTGCTGCAACCTCACCATGTATACATTCCATTCCCATTAAGCTTTGCTAGTCTTGATACCCATGGTAATGGGATTGCTGAGTTCTCGTGGCTCACGGATTACTACAACAACAGTTGCAGGTACAGGTAATACGATGATCATGACGTGAGAGCGATGTTTACTTGTTTTGGAGTCCTTCTTCTGCTTCTTCTTTGTTCAGGGGATAGGTTCCTAGTAGGCAGCCTGGACTAGCAGGGGTGGATGTTGTTTGAGTTTCTGTTTGTGTTCCATCTGTAGTCAGATGTTGCTATTATGTATGATGTTGTTGTATTCATGTGGCATTGTATGCCTTTTGTATGTATCCCGACTATTATGTAATGGTACGATCGATGTAATGATATTCACCTTGCAAAAGTGTTTTCAATATGCGGCTCTATCCTTGGTGGGACCTTCGAGTTCCTCTCGGATAGGATCGCATATTGGGCGTGACACCCCCTCCGGTAGTTATTTGCTCCAGTATTTCTTATTTATTCCATAAAAATTTCTCGTGAAGTTTTAGCTCATTTGGAGTTGTGCAGAATAGGTAGCCTGACGTAGCTTTTTCAGGTCCAGATTTCCAGCTGCCGGAATTCTCCCTCTTTGTGTGAACCTTGCATATTATGAAAGAAAAGACATTAGAATTACTCAAAAAGCATTATTATGCATAAAAATATTATAAATAACAGTAGGTGAACATGATGCAAAATGGACATATCAGAAGCTTTTGGACTACTTTTGGACTGTTGTGTTGGACTATTTTTGGACATGCTGCACTATTTTTGGTAAGTTTTGCAAGTGCATGTTACACTCCTTCTATGGTGGACTATTATTTTGTCGTTTTGGCATGTTGCACTATTTTTAGTAAGTTTTGCATGTTACACTATTTTTGGTGTTTTTTGTTCTAAAATGACATGATATTATTGGTATTATGACTATCCAAACATTTATTGGAAGTACTTCCATCCACTTCATGCATCTTAAATAAGGTGCCATAAATCCAACAATAAATATGTATGTACATATTTTAATGGTTAGTTCATGTTTATAAAATGTCAAAATAAAAATAATAATTAAACTTGTATTTGTAACCCAATGGTTTATCATTTTTCATACTTAAATTTTGTCAGAAAATCATATAGCTTGGCTTGGTATCATACTACGAGTTTATCCTTCCATAAAATTTCCAAAAGAAGTGAGTAAATTGTGAACATATGTTGCTCTCTAATGGTGACGATGACATCTCCAAATATGTTTCGTGTCTCCCAAACATACTATTAAATTACATTTCCAAAAAAATTGCCTTCATCATTTTGAATCAAGATTTTAACTGCAATCTCATATGCTAGGTGAATAGAAAAATATAAATTTGGAAAATTTGGTTCGTGCCTAGCAAACTCAGATATTCGAAGGCTGCCACTAAGGAACGCCAAGAAATAAGTTGCACGCCCCGGTGTGCCGTCTCCACTTGTTCTATCTCGTTTGAACCATCCTGTGAGACCCACCACTTGTCATGCCAATCACACCGGTGAGCAAACACGTTTCTATGACAGGACACGATGACCATAATTTGAACCTTTCTTGTTCACCTACCATGCCAGCCATGCATCAAATTCTGGCGACTGTCATGCATGCCCCTCGAGATTCCGAGTAACTATAGCTACTATTTGCCTGCACTCATCTTTGTCGCGACTCTCTCCTCGCACTCCCTCACCGCCACTCCAACTGCTCGCCCTAGCCCTTTCTCTGCTATGGCGCCGGCCATCCCTAGCCGACACATCATTAGTGCGGTGGGACCCAACACCGAGTGCCACGCCTCGGCACCCTGCACCAAGGAGGACGCCTTGTCGTCCCTCGCCGAGGAGGACGTCACGCCGGATCCCCCGTACCTCACCATTGAGCAGCTCTATGATGCTATATATGGACACCTCCTTGTGGCAGCCGTTGTCTCCGGACGAGGGTGCTAGGAGTGAGTCGCACATAAAGGAAGAGCAGGAGCGCATCGAGAGAGAGGCGCCTGATGGGCCTACGCGTTGGATCAATGGAGAGAGGCTCAAGAGAACAAACGATAGGGTGGAGGTAGTGGCTTGGGAGGTAGCCGTGGAGGCCATTGGGCCCTCACACTCGCCTCTCGCCTGGCGGTACGTTGATCGATGGCCGGCATTATAAAGCTCAAGTAACGGTGGGCGCTGGATGATGAGAGTGTTGCCGCGGTGGTTGCGCGCAATGAACGTGCCCAACAGCAACTCACAATGGTCTTAGCCGAGTAGACTGAGGTCTCTTGCCGTACAAAAACAACTAAATTACAAAATTTTGGTCAAACAATGCACATACATTTTGAGTAATTTTGTTTCTTTTTTGTATAGAGCTCCTCGGACGTCATTTGACCACCAAAATTTACAAGCCTCTCTAACATTCGTTAATGATCATTCGCACAAAGTTTCAGATTTTTTTCGAAATGTTTTGCTATGTTTTTTTCTTTGTGTGGGTGTAGCGGGTGTGCACCGAGCTGGGGTGCAGGAAAACCACTCTCTAAGTACTAAGCTAAAACTTTCCCATCTCTTTCAATATGTACATGTAGAATTACTGCTTTTTTTATGATTTTGTTTGGAGAAATTTTATTCTTTGTTCAGTTGATACGGGAAAATCCATTGGATGGCCCGGTCCTTATGATTTGCTGGTGGATTTGAGGTGAAACGTGACAAACATGAAGAACAGCGAAGGAAAAACTCAAGAGAATCACTCGCAAGGACAAGATTCACCACCAATCCAACTCAAATTACAAGCCAAACCTCAAGATCTAACAACATGAAAAACAAATGACTAGGGTAGTTCGTCCCCAAATCTCTAGGTGACATTGAGGTGTTGAGAGATAGTTCCTCTCCAACTTCTAGGAATCAGAGGTCTTGTACTCCTAAAGGAACCTTCAACTGGTAAGTGGTCTTGAACTCCATGGAGTCTTCACCCTGTAGGTGGAAATCCCCAGGGTATGATAGATTGAGCAAAGCTCTATCAAGGTTTTGGCTTATGCTTTACTAAGCCTGAAAAATGGAAGAGGTAAGAAATATATAGGTCCTAGGGAAAGAGGGGAACGTGAAGGGTAGTTCCAATCACGATCCTAATGTATTTCCTCCTTGAAATATAAGGCCCAATTTGACTTTTCTGGTCGTCGTTGCACAACTTTGACTATGATTTTCATGTATTGTATGTCTATAAGTATACATACATAGGAAATAAAATTGTTTTGCAAGACAAATACGACGATACCATTTATACATGTTCAATCCATATACTTTGATATATATTAGTGGTCAAAGTCGTGCATCAAAGACCGTAAAAAGTCAATCGCGCCTTATATTTTGGGAAGGAGGGAGTACGACTTTACCAATCAAACTAACCCCTAGTGAAGATTCTACGATTTATGATCCCACCATCGTATCTCTTATCTGTTTCAGGATCACAATTCTGAAATTCTGACTACCT